GGTGGCGTGGTGGTTAAGGTGCTGGACACTCCCACATGGCCGATCATGGTTCAAGTTCCAGACCTGGTGGCTTGTTTTCTCACTTTCCCTCTCTGTGTGTGTCTCTCTCTGGTCAAATTAAAATAAGTGAATGAATAAATAAAATTAAATAATTCTTTTATAAAAAAAATGTTGTGAGGCTCTTGCACCATATACCAGAATGTCTATTGTTACACACACACACACACACACACACACACACACGCATTATTTTCTCCTGAAATCTCTGAGTAACAGACTCTGGAAAGCTGTGCATGCTAAACCTGAGGCTTTGGGACCCCCAGCACAAGATGGGGTTCCTCCGCTGACCTCATCTGAGAAGCAAAACCAAAGATACCCATGTGTGGAACTGTTGCCTAAGGAACCATATCAGGCCTCCTGGAGCCTCCCAAGCCCCCACACCCACGAATGTCCTCTGGTGCCCATTCCCAGGAAGGCGCAGGTCAGGAACACGCCCCCAACGCCACTCCCACCCCAAGCAGGACTCACGTAGGATGGATAGTCCTTGAGGGGGCCTTTGATGAGGGTGAAGAGGGGGAACTGGAGCAGGGACACAATGGCTGACAGGGCCATCACTAGCCCAAAGAGCTTTCCAAAGTGCTCAGAAGGGAAACTAGGGAGAGAAAGGAAAGGGGTTCCCGTGAGCTTTGGGTACCCTCCACCCTCACAGGAGCCTAGCCCCAGAGGGCCTCCGTCAGCCACAATGCCCAGCGCCCCTTTCCTGGGCCTGGGTCCACCAGGCAGAGCAGAGGTGAGAGTACAGCAGATGCCAGGCGCAGGCACGAGGATGCTTGCCCTCCCTGCCGGCCTTCCCTGCAGGCATGGTCCCCCTCCACCTGCTCCCAGACCCCTGCACTCACTGACCGCCCCCGCCCCATCCTCACCCCCAATTCCTTTTCTTCCAGCTTGCTTCCCTTTGCCGAGCATGGCCCCTGTCGTGGAACACCCCCACCCCCACCCCCACCACCAGGTCACTTACGCGACGGTGAGGAAGGCAGCATTGCCCCCATAGAGGAAGGATCGGCTGATCACTTGCAGGACGAAGGTGAGATACTGCAGGGGCAGGGAAGGAACAGAAGCACAGACAGCGAAGCCCAGGCACAGCAGAGACGTCAGGGTCAGCGAAGGCACCGCTGAGCGGAGGGCCGCCATGGAGGTGGAGGAACCTGATCCACAGGGAAGAGGGGAGGATGCTGGAGGAGAGCCCGGGTAGGGCAAGGAATGGGTGAGAGGGAGGAGCCACTGCCCACCCGGGCAGAAATGCGGGGGTCATCTTGGACTCCTCCTTCTCCCACGGGCCCCACAGCCAATCCATCTATACAGCTAACTACGCACCTCCTCCACGTCATTCAGGCTGTCCACCCCTCTCCATCCCCCAACCCTTCCTGATCTGAAGCCACCATCGGATCCCTCACAGGTTATTGCAGTGGCCTCTTGACAGGCCTCATCCTCTCTTGCCCCCTTGAACCCAGAGCCAGACAGCCCTTACAGCACTGCGGGGGGGGGGAGCAAGGGCTGGAAGCCATCCAGACAGCCAAGGGTGGGGACACGCAGTACACTGCAGCCACAGAATAGAAAGCGAAGGCGGTGTGTGAGAGGAATGAGGACAGGTCCCTGCTTGGAGCAGAGCAACCTCAGGACAGTCACTGAAAAAAGAAAACTTGGGGGGCCAGCAGTTAGCATAATGGCTATGTCACTGGACTCCCACGTAGTCGATTGCGGTTCGAGTCCCGGGCCCAGGCTTAAAACTCACGCCGGGCGCGTGTGCATGCGTGCCCAAGATCCCAAGAGGAGAATGGAAGAGAAGGGGTTGCGGCGTGACCATCCCCCCTGGGGAGTGATTTCTCGCTTTCTGTCTCCCTGTCTCTCTCTGTCTGGTGAGCCCTATAGCAAAAAAACTCTACAAAAAAAAAAAAGAAAAGAAAAGAAAACTTGGGCCAACAGATGGTGTGGAGGTTAAGGTGGCTGGATCCCACATGGCTGACCCAGTGGTTTGAGTCCCAGGCCAAGTGGCTTGGAAAACACACAGGGCACGCATGCATCTGGGCCTGGAATTCTGAGAGGGGAATGGAGAAGGAACTGTGGTGTGGCCATACCCCCTGGGGGGAGGTTTCTCACTCCCACTCCCTGCCTCTGTCTGTCTGTCTCTCTCTGACAAGTACATATACCCGGTAGCAAATGTTTTAAAAAAAGAAAACCACATAATAGTGTGTACTTAGATTTAAGGAAGATGGAAATAAATGTACATATATAAAATGTTTATACATTAAAAAACAATAAAAATAGGGACCAGCAGTTAGTGTAATGGCTTTGTCACTGGACTTCCACCTAGTCGACCACAGTTCACATCCCAGACCCGGTGGCTTAAAACTCACGCCAGGCGTGTGTGCGTGTGTGCCCAAGATCCCAAGAGGAGAATGGAGGAGAAGGGATTGCGGTGTGGCCATCCTCCCTGGGGGGTGATTTCTCGCTTTCTGTCCCTCTGTCTCTCTGTCTGTCTGGCAAGCGCATGCGCCCTATAGCAAAAACCTCTAAAAATAATAATAATAATAATAATTACCTAAAGAAAGAGGGAAGAGAGGGGACCAGCAGGTTGCATAGTGGGTAAGGTGCTGGACACTCCCACATGGCCAACCATAGTTCGAGTCCTGGACCTGGTGGCTTGCTTTCTCACTTTCCCTCTCTCTATATCTCTCTCTGTGTGTGTCTCTCTCTGGTCAAATTAAAATAAATGAATAAATAAATAAAATTAAGTAAAAAATAATTATTTAAAAATATAGTATTAAAAAAAGAGAGAGAAAGAGGGAAGAGAAGGCATACCAGGGACAGAAAGAGAAACAAAAATTTCTTTGACTATCTTGTTTCACAGTCTTAGCTTTGGGAAAATGTCAATGTTTGATATGTAAATGTTTTAAAAATAAAATGAAACAAAAACAATAGGAAAGAAATATACTGGCCAATCCCAAAAAGCCAGAAACAAGTTCAAATAAAACCAATCAATGTAACTCTATACCAAGTTGGTGACTCTTACTATGCAGTAATTTGTATATTTCTTTTTTAAAAAGAATTATTTTATTTAACTTTATTTATTCATTTATTTTAATTTAACCAGAGAGGGAGGGAGAGAGAGAGAAAGTGAGAAAGACAGCCACCATGTCTGGGACTCGAACCGCAGTCATGTGGAAGTCCAGCGCCCTTAACCACCATGCCACCTGCAGGCCCCAATTTGTACATTTCTTAAAGGATATATCCTGAGAATGAAAAAGGAAGGAAGGGAGGGTTGGAGGAAGGAAGTAGCAACAGCATTTAGGTTTTGTCAGTGACGTTAATGTCAATATTGCTACGACCGGTAGTTATATTTAAAATACTGTATTAGGGCCAGAGGGTGGTACAGAAGTGAAACACAATGTTGTGTGAGGCAGATCCACACAGGAAGGTTGCTAGCACTCCCCTCCCCGGGCCCTCCCTGAGTACTCGAGCCACACATGTGCCAAGTGCCCCTGATCCCACTGGCTGAGGCTAGGGGTAGATTCCAACATCAAGACCCTGCCAGGATGCTATCGCTCTGTCTCTCGTTGAGTACTTTCAAAAAATATAAAAACAGGCTGGCAAGTGGCACAGTGGTTAAAGCGCTGGACTCCCACAAGACTGCTGCTGTTCAAGTCCCAGACCTGGCAGCTTGCTTTCTCACTTCCCCTCTCTTTTTCTCTCTGTCTCTCTCTGGTGAGTGCATGTGCCCTGTAACAAATCAAAAGTAATAATAATAAATAAAATGAAATAGCTCTTTTTTCTTAGAGAGATTTTTGCTATAGGGTGCATGCACTTGCCAGAGAGACGGAGAGAGAGATAGAGACAGAAAGCGAGAAATCACCCCCCAGGGGAGTTGGCTACACTGGAATACCCTTTCCTCCATTCTCCTCTTGGGATTTTGGGCACATACACACATACACTTGGTGTGAGTCCAAGCTGCCAGATCCGGGACTCAAACCGTCGGCCATGTGAGTCCAGCAACATAACCATTTTGCCATCTGCAGGTCCCAATAAATAATTCTATTAAAAATAAATAGAATACTGGGTTGTCAGGAAAGCCATGATGCTTTTTTGCATAGAAAAAGGTCATAACTTGGGACCAGCAGATGGCGTAATGGTTATGTCACTGGACTCCTACTTAGTTAACTGTGGTTTGAATCCTGGACCTGGCAGCTTAAAACTCACACTGGGCGCATGTGTAGGTATCCCTAAGATTCTCAGAGGACAATGTAGAAAGGATTTCAATGTGTTTATCCCCTCTGGGGGGTGATTTCTCTCTCCGGCGAGCACACGTGCCCTCTAGCAAAAAAAAAAAAAGTCATGACTTGCCTGACAATGGAATAATGTGTTTATGTACGAATATGTATGTAGTATTATTAGTTCTAAGGTTTTCAGAAGAAAAGAGATACAAATGTGAAATCAAGCAAGTAACATTTGAATGAAACTATCCAGTAGAGTCATCCCCGCCCTTCCAAGAGGTCCACGACCCCCAGTGGGTGGGGTCACAGACAGTACACTGTACTGACCCCTAGATTCACTGTTTTCTCATACACACACACCTATGATAAGGTTTAATCTACAAATTAGGCACAGTAAGAGATTAACAATAATAATATAGAGTAGTTAAGAAAATAGACTGTAATAAGTTACATGAATGTGGTTTTTATCCTTTTCACAGTCCTTCATTGGACTGTACTCACCTGTTTTTAGACCACAGTTAACTGAGGGTACCTGAAACCATAGAAAGCAAACCCAGATAAGGGGGGACTACTTTCTTAAGTATTCATGATATATTCTTTTTCTCACATACACGCGTGTGCGGTATACGGCTTAGCTATATCCAAGGCATTAAAAACAGTAAGAACCCAAGAGCAATTAGAAACCCAAGCACCCACATTTTTCAGTAGCTTGATACTATTTCGCATTAAAGGATTCAGGGCCAGCTGGAAAAATGACTCATGTGAGTCCCAGAGCAGGAAACATGCCCTGTGAAATGAGCCTGAACGTCTCGCTGCTAGAAAGCAAAGGCACTACCCAAACCGACGGGGTTATGTCTGGAGAGCACAGAGGCTGGATGGTTGAAGTTCCCAATGGCCAGTGGTGGGACATCAGAGGAACATGACAGAATAAATTGGAAACCATCAAACAGATTTAAAATCGGACTTTAAAAAAGAAACAACTGCGGGGACCAGCAGTTGGCACAATGGCTATGTTGCTGGACTCCCATGTAGTTGACCACGGTTCGAGTCCCAGACTCGGTGGCTTAAACTCATGTTGGGCACGTGTGCGTGCGTGCCCAAGATCCCGAGAGGAGAATGGAGGAGAAGGGATTGCGGCGTGGCCATCCCCTCTGGGGGGTGATTTCTCGATTTCTGTCTCTCTGTCTCTCCCTGTCTTTCTGGTGAGCACACGTGCCCTATAGCAAAAACCTCTCAAAAAAAAAGAAAGAAAGAAAGAAAGAAAGAAAAGGAGAGGAGAGGAGAGGAGAGGCGAGGAGAGGAGAGGAGAGGAGAGGAAAGGAAAGGAAAGAACTCGGGCCAGCAAGTGGCATGGTGGTTGAAGCACTGGACTCTCACATGGCTGACCATGGTTTGAGTCCCAGACCTGGCAGCTTGCTTTCTCACTTTCCCTATCTCTCTCTGTTCAAATTTAAAAGGAACATAATGATGATAATGAATGAAATTAATTAAAGTAATTCGAAGAAGAATAATTCTTCCTTTATAAATATAAAGTGTCTATAATGCCTAATCAAATGTCATAGAAGTAAAAAAGGGAAAGAAAGAAAGAGAGAAAGAAGGAAACAACTAGGCCAGCCCTGTAGTTTAGTGGTTAAAGGAAGCAGGATCCCACGCGGCTGACTGCCATTTGAATCTGGTCCCAATGACTTGAAGAACCCTCTGGGTGCATGGGCGTGTGTGCCCCAAATCCTGACAGGATAGAGAAGTGAAGAAGGGGTTGCAACGTGATCACTCCCCATTATGGAGTACTTTTTTCTTCTATCTCTGGCGAGTGCTTGCACCCCCCAGCAATTAAAAAAAAAGTTTTTTAATAAAGAAACTAATAGTCATCCCTGAAAGTCACTAGAATACCAATTCATTATTCTAAAATTGCGACCAGAGGGGAAAACCAAACGTTTACTTCAGGATAACAACATAGTAAGGAAAAGTTTTGCTTTCTGGAAGAATTTTATCTATTAAAAGCAGAAGATAGAAATAGAAAATCATTCTTTTACAAGGCTAATAAAATAATGAGTTCAGGCATTGATCACCAAAAGCTGCTGAAACCATTAGCTGCACGGTGGATGGGAAATTTTATAATGGATGGATCAGAGGGACAATGGCTGAACCAACTGATCAATCGTAACACCATCATAAGAGAGACGACAGGCAGCAGGGCCCGACTGGGGGCCACAGGAAGCCCACAGCTCCACCTTTGAATTATTCTCACCAAAACAAATCAGACTGAGTCTCCTCTAAGCCTCTCATCTGTCTGTTTACAAGAAATGCCCAGTCACGGGACCAGTAGGTGGCCTGGTGGTTAAGGAGCTGGACACTCCCATGTGGCTGACCACGATTCGAGGCTCAGACCTGGTGCCTTCTTTGCCACTTTCCCTTTTTTTCTTTCTCCCTTTCTCTCTTTCTCTCTCTCTCTCTTTCTCTCTCTCTCTCTCTCTCTCACTCTGTGTGTGTGTGTGTGGGTGTGTGTCTGGTCAAATTAAAATAAATGAATAAATAAATAAAATTGAATGAGTAATTCTTTTAAAAAAAATTAATTAATTAAAAAAGAAATGCCCAAGGCTGGCAGGTGGCATGGTGGTTAAGGGTGCTGGACTCCCACACGGCTGACCACAGTTCAAGTCCCAGTCCTGGCAGCTTGCCTTCTCTCTTTCTCTCTCTCGCTCTGTCTCTCTGTGATCAAATTAAAATAAATAAACGAATGAATGAATAAAGTTCAATAAAATAATTTAAAAGAAAAAGAAATGCCCAATCAAAAGAGCACTTTTAAATGCCACCAAATGGGCGACAAAGCCAAAGGGTAGGAAATCTGACAGGAAAATGACCTAGTTTCTTTAACAAACGAGCGACAAGAAAAGAAAAAGAGGGGACACTATTACAAGATTTTAAAAGAAATATGAGGCATTTCAACTAAATGTGCTGTGGACCATCCTTATGTCCCGATCTGAACAAACTGAAGGGGTGCGTCTGAGACAATCGGGGAAACAGGAAGTGATCACACATTAGATGACACTAAGAAATTATTGCTGGGGCCAGCAGGGGTTATGGAGATTAAGGCAGCTGGATCCTCCATTGCCAACTCCACAGTTCAAGTCCTGGACCCGGCAAGCTGAAAATAACACTGGACCCGAAAATCCCAAGAAGAAAACGGAAGAGAAGGGATTACAGTGTGGCCAATCCTCTACGAAGAGATTTGTCACGTTCTCTCACTCTCTCTGGCAAGTGCCTATGCCCTATAGCACCAAAAACTAAAAAAAATAAAATAAAAAAAGAATAATTTAAAAACAAGGAAAGAAAAAGAAATTACTGTTTTTGCTAGGTGTGACAATATATTTTTTTTTTTCTAATTTTGCTACAAGGTATGTGCACTCACTCGAGAAACACAGAAAGAGAGAATGTGAGAAAGCCCTTCCCGGGGGGATGACCAGGCCGCAATCCTCGATTTCGTCCTCAGGATGTGGGGCTCACTCACACATGTGTCTAGCACGTTCCTCGAGCTACCAGCTTTGGGACTGGAACTGTACAGCTGGCCATGTGGGATCCCCTGGCCTTCATCACCACATCACCGCTGGCCCCAGCTGTGGTATTATATGATGCCGTAAGAGGTGATGTTCCGGAGGCTTAAACGAGGCCCTCGCTGTTGAGATACATAGTGAAGTATGCACCGGGGAATGCCGTGATGTCTGAGACGTGCCTTTAAATACCCCGGTGGCTGTAGAGGTTGTGAAGGGGAGGGCGACGGTGAGGGTGAAAGGAGGAGGAGGACCGTTACCCTCTGCTTTGGTCTCCCCACACCTGACCGCACAGGTTAAAACACCTCAGTACCCCTCTGTTCCTCCCACCATGTCCAAGGATCCCACCCACACTCCTGGCCTGGGAAGCAGCCTGGCCTTCTTACCTCTCCCCTCCAGCTCCTCCCTACCACCCCCCTGCGAGTTCTGCACCCTAGCCAGCCTGAGCCTCAGAGCCCTCACTGTTTCCCTCTCTGCTTCACCACCTTGACCCCCTGCATTCCTGGGTCACACGCCCAGGCCACTTTCCCTTCATCTGCTCACTTCTTCCACATCGTTCAGGTACTGGCTTAGCTACCACTTCCTCCAGGAAGTCTTCCCTGACACCAGCCTCACCCTCACCCAGAACCGGGTATGTTCCCTTCTCTAGACTCCCATGGCTTTCTGCGGGTTAGTTGCATGGATTGTCTTTGCCTGATGGCCTGCTTTTCTGCAACCTCAAGACTGAGAATGAGAGGAAAAAGATGTATCTGTCTTAGCCACTGTGGAACCCCCCTGTCTGGCACTAACTGTGTCAGGGACTCACCTGCCGTTTGGTGACCAAAGGTGGAGTGGACAGATGGACAAGCGCACATAAAAAGGGCTGAGAACTAAGGAGATGAGCATGGAGGTGGACGAAGACCTCACCCCGTCGGTTCCCGCCGGTTCCCTGACCATCGCCCTGTCTCACCTGTCATTTTCTCTTCCTTCTGGTACTTTTGCTTAAGCCGGTCCATGAGCAAGCCGTTCCAGGGGGCACAGAGCACTCCGAAAAACTGAGTGATGGCAAAGGCATTGGTGTAGGTGCTGACTGCAGAGGGCACAGAGGTGGGTGGTAAGCCCTTCAGGACGGCCTTACAGGAGAGGGCTTGCCCACCACACCCTCGTCCTGTCCCTCCCCACACCCTCAGGCCCTCAAGCGGAGCACACAGCCCTGCTGAGCGCAGCATCGTTCCCCACAGCCTGGCTCTGAGTGCCCTCAGGGACGTGCAGACGGCCCACCTCCCAGCCCCACCATGTACCTAGCGCCTCATCGCCTCTGGCCAGCTTGGTCAGCAGAGAGTTGAGCGTGCCAATGAAGAAGTAGTGCCACAGCTGTATCACAGACAGCCACACCAGGTGCCAGGCGAAGCGCCGAGAGAAAGCGTAGCTCCAGAAAGAGCGAGGTTTCTGCTGCTGCCCTGGTTCCGGGATCTCTGCTGGGGAAAGGCAGAGCTGGGCATGAATTACAAGGCAAGGGGAGAGATGGAACAGGCCGGAGTGGAGGGGCCTTGCCAGGGCAGTCTGAGCAAGCTCACTCACTGCTTGTCTCCAGAACTCATTGGAGCACTCTGTAGGCTGCATACCACCCTCACATGCCAGCTCTCCACACACCCCCAGCAACCCCAGGATGACCGTGCTTGTCATCCTGGCCCTACCACCTTGAATGACCCTCCTGCTCTTCACTGTCTATTGAAATCCGATCTGCCTCTCACAGCCTGGTCAAGGACACTTCTCGCTGCAACACTCTGCTACTCTTTCTCAGCAAGAATGGTGAAAAGACAAGGAAAGAAGAAAATGAGAGGCCAGGACAGGGCCTGGTGGACAGCTACCGTCTGGCCTGCTCCACATCTTTTCTCTTTGCTACGAGCATCCTCAGTTTCCTTGGGCAATCTCCCCTTGCCCCGATTTTTTTTTTCCTTTTTATGTTGCTATAGCACAAGCGTGTTCACTGGAGAGAGAGACAGAAAGAGAGAAACCACACACCCACCCCCCCCCGGGATGGCCATTCCACATCCTTTCTTCTCCATTCTCTCTCAGGATTTTGGGCACATATACACACACACCCAGTGTGCTTTTTAGGTCTTTTTTTAAAAATAGATTTTTGCTATAGGGCACATGTGCTCCCCAGAGAGACAGAGAGAGAGATGAAGAGAGAAAGTGAGAAATCACCCTCCAAGGAGGATGGCCACACCGCAATCCTTTCTCTTTTATATTCCCCTCGGGATTTGGGGCATGCACACACATGCACTGGGCGTGAGTTTATAACCACCAGATCTGGGACTTGAAGCGTGATCGGCCATATGGGAGTCCAACACCTCAACCGCCATTCCCCCTGCTGGCCCAGCCCAGCGTGTTTTCAAGCCCCCAGGTCCAGGATTTGAACCACATGGTTGGTCATGTGGGGAGCCGCTATCTTAGCCACTACACCACCAGCCGACATTCCATCTCCCCATGCCCCTATTCTTCACATGATGGGACCATGAAATAAATGTTCTGTTCCTCACCCGAAGTTGACCAGTTGTTCACTGTGCCCAAAGAGGCAGACTGCCCATGATTTTAGGTGGGGATGCCCAGAGATATTCCAGTACTATTCTTCCTAAAGCCTGACCAGTTCTATTTTCCCTTGATTTTATGAGCTTCCCAGACTCTTATTCTTCTTTCTTTAAAAAAAAAAAAAAAAAAAAAACTTTATTGTGTGTATTTAAGGTATGCAGCATGATGTCATGGGATACATATAGATACTAACATGGTTACTATAGTGAAGCAAATTAACATATCCATCATGTCCCATAGTTACCCATTTGTGCGTGTGTGTATGGCAAGAACAGTTCAAATCTCCTCACTCAGGCAAACCCGGAACACAATACCGTCTCATTACCTACAGCCCCCGCACCGCTCTTAAGACCTCTGGTCCCGGTCATCCCACCTATCTGCCACTTTGTACCCTTTGACCTCCATCTGCATTTCTCCTCTCCCATTCCCATTTCTCCCGCAGCCAGCAGTGGTGTGGATGTCTGTAACCAAAGACCCAAAACAGACAGAGGAGGAAAAGGAGGCACAGATGGAGATAGGACGAGAGAGGGCAGACCCACGGGACCTGCGGAAGTGGGGACAAATAAACCAGGCCCAGCCCCACATCGCCGGCTAGGACAGGTCTGAGGAGCAGGAGGAGGGGCAGGCAAGTTCCAGAAGGCAGACTTCATGGGTGGGGGTATATGAGAAGAGACAGAGAACAGGGGCAGAAAAGAGAATGGGGGACCAGCAGATGGCGTAATGGTTATATCACTGGACTCCCACATCGTCGACCAGGTTTGAGTCCCAGACCTGTCGGCTTAAAACTGACACAGGGCACATGTGCCTGGGTGCCCAAAAGCCCGAGAGGAAAATGGAGAAGGGATCGCAGCCTTCCCCACCAGGGAGTGATTTCTATCTTCCTGTCTCTCTGTCTCTCTCTGTCTTTCCAATGAGTGCACATGCCCTATAGCAAACGTCTCTATTTTTAAAAAGAGAGAAAGAGAGTGGAAAAGACAAAAAGCCTGGCTTCAGGGAGCCTGTAGGTGGTGTGGTGGTTAAAGACGCTGGACTCCCACATGGCCAAGCGCAGTTCAAGTCCTGGGCTTGGTAGCTTGCTTTCTCACTCCCCCCAACCCCCCATTATTCTCTGGTCAATTTTAAAACTAATAATAATAAATAAAGTTAAATAAAAATAAAAATAAACTTAAAAAATCCTGGCTTCTTTGGAGCTTCTAAGTGAGGGGTTTGAGGTCATTCTCTACCTGAGCCTTCCTGACTGAGCTGCTGGGGGAGGTGAGGAGACAGGGGAGTCATGAGGAAGACCAGGGTCTGACGGAGAAAAGGGTCTGGAGGCAAGGCCCACCTTCCTTCTGTGAAAGGAACTCCTTTGACTGCAACTCCGTGCTCTCCTGCCCAGCCGTCTTCTTTTCCTTCTCGGCGCCATTCCCAGTGCACAGGCTGTGGAAAGAGAAGGCCCGCAGTCCCGGCCAAGAACTGAGATCTGAGCCTGAGATTCGGAGTGGTGAGACCCAGGGAGGGGACCCAGATTTCACTGTGCCTTGGAATCACCTTCTAATAGCCTGGGGGCCCAGGTCGCAGCCTAGACCAGTTGAATCAGAACCTCTGGGAAGGAGAGTCATGCTTCTCATGTTCATAAAGATCTCCAAAGTGATTTGGGGGTTTCAATACACAGCAAACTTTGGGAACCACTGGGACCATTGAAAGAGTAGGACAGGTCTAAGTTCAAATCCAAGCCGTGCCTTTTCCTATCTGCAGAAACACAACCCAGACTGAACCCTTCTGAGCCTCGTTTTTCTCATTTGGAAAATGGAGACCAGAATGTCAGAGAGGGTGCGTTGAGAGCATGAAATCAGAGAGTACGTGGGACTAAGCAACAGTAAGTGGGCAGTGTCCCTCTCTGCGGTGACTGATTGCAAATAGTGTCACATTCCTTTGTTCAAGTTGTTTTAGAGAGATTTTTTTAGCTTTACGGTGCTCACTGAAGACGGAGAGACAGAAAGTGAGAAATTATCCCCTCAGGGGGATTGGTCATTTCTCAGTCCTTTCAAGTTGTTTTAGAGAGATTTTTTAGCTTTACGGTGCTCACTGAAGACGGAGAGACAGAAAGTGAGAAATTATCCCCTCAGGGGGATTGGTCATTTCTCAGTCCTTTCTCCATTCTCCTCTAAGGATTTTGGGCACACACGCACACGCACCCAGCATGAGTTTTAAGTCACCAGATCCAGGACTCAAACTGCAGTAGACTAAGTAGGACATAACCATTATGCCATCTGTGGGTCCCTCAAATATTGTCACATTTCTCCACTTCCGCCACATCTCTACCCTTGGTAATAGGATTCTCACCTCTTAACAATTTCCCCACCCCCTGAATTCGAGCTGGCCTTGTCAACAACGTCAGCCAGAATGCAGTAGAAGTGACACGCCAATGCCAAGTCTAAAAACCTCAAGAAAACGTGTGTATTTCTGCATTCTCTCTTGGAGCCCTGAAACCACACGCGGATAAGCTCAAGCCAGCTTGGTGGATGATGAAAGCCTGTGACCCAGACATCCCTATTGTTCATTCCAAATCCCATGTAAGGGAGGCCTTTCTAGGCCAGCCAACACCTGGTTAACCCATTAGATGATCAGAGACAAGAGAAAATCCTCTCAAGATCATTCAGCCTGGCCCTGATCAATAGAACTTGCCAGCTGCCCACAGATTTGTGAAAAACAATAAATGCATAACATTTTAGGCCATTTTGAGGTTTGGGGTCATTTGTTACACAGCAATAGCTAACTAGCACACCCTATCCCAATCATCTCCTATGACAGATTTTCTCTCCCCATCCATCCCAACCCCTGCTTTTTCTACCCCAAGTCATATAAGGAGCTTTGGCCCACAATCACCAAATCACAGTCCTTACCCGTAGCTGTAGTTGGGGGGCAGTGGATAGGGAATATGCCCCCAAGGCATCAGAAGAAAAGTACGAGCAACGTGCCAGGCACTACAGGCAGAGAGGAAGATGAAGGAGGCCCGGAGACTGATGTCCTGTTTATAAAGAAGCTGCAGAAAAAGGAGGGAAAAGTCAGTGTAGCACCCATGGTCATGGCAGTATCGCTCACAGTAGCCAAAAGATGGAAAGAACCCAAGTGCCCCTCAATGGATGATTGGATATGCAAAATGTGGTATACATGCAATGCTATGCAGCCTTAAAAAGGATGGAAACGCTGACATTTGCAACAACCCGGCTGAACTGTGAGAACATTATGCTAAGTGAAATAAGCCAGTCACAAAAAGACAAATGCGGCTTGGTTCCACTTACACGAAGTTCCTACAGTAGCCGAATTCATAGAGACAGAAAGTGCAGTGGCGGTTACCAGGGCTGAGAGCAGGGAGAAATGGGGAGTTAGTGTTTAATGGATAGAGCTCCAATTTTTTTATTTTTAAAGGTTTTTGCTATAGGGCACATGCACTCACCAGACACACAGAGACAGAGAGACAGAAAGCGAGAAATCACCCCCCAGAGAGGATGGCCACGCCTCAATCCCTTCTCCTCCATTCTCCTCTCGGGATCTTGGGCACGCACGCACATGTGCCCGGCGTGAGTTTTAAGCCACCAGGTCCGGGACTCAAACCACTGTCAACTACATGGGAGTCCAGCAACATAGCCATTACGCTAACTGCTGGTCCCGAGAGTTCCAATTTTATAAGATGAAAAGCTCTAGAGATGGATGGTGGTGACAGTTTCACAGCCATGGGAATGTACTTAATGTCACAGAATCACACATTCAAAAATGGTTAACATGGTCAATTCTGGGGCTGGCAAATGGCTTGGTGGTTCAGGCATTGGACACCCACAGTTTGAGTCAGAGACCTGATGGCTCACTTTCTCACTTTCCCTTTCTGACTCTCTCTCGTGCACGCACACACTCGCTGGTCAAATTTTAAAAAATAATACTAATAGCAAATGGAATTAAATAAATAAATAATCCTTGAAAAATAAAGTTTGAAAATAAAAGGCCCATTTTAAGTGTATCGTATCACACACAAAACAGTGTAAGAGGTAGGGGCTGGAACCTCAGATTTCAAGGAGGCTCTTCCCCCACCATCCTGGAAGCTGCCTAAAGACACTGCCACACACACGTCCCACCCTAGGGCCCACGGCAGCAGGGGGTCATCATGTCACCCCTCCCCACAGCCCTGCAGAGCCTCCTCATGTGGCTGCTCAGAGATGTCCAAGCCAGTGCTTTTTGTCCCCAATTGCAGCAAAGTCTTTTTATTCAAAACCTTTTTTACACAAAAATCCAACGTACGAAACCCATCTGGGGGAGCCATCCAGCCATCCTTCTTGCTTTCTCCACAGTGACCACATACCAAAGGGAAGTCCTAAGTTCCTCAACACTCCATTTGAAAACCACACATCTAGCCCAACTCTGTAGCTTACAGAGGTGACACTGGGACCCAAAAGGGCACAGCAGGTCAGAGCAAGCAGCAGCAAAGTCAGATGCACCTAAAAACTGCAGCGTCGGGGGCTGGTAGGTGGTTAGGAGTACTGGACTCCCACATGGCCAACTGCGGTTCGAGTCACAGACCTGGTAACTTGCTCTCTCACTTTACCTCTCTCCCTCTTTCTCTGGTCAAATTAAAAAATAAAAAATAATTTTTTTAAATTAATAATGAATGGGGCCAGCAGGTGGTGTGGTGGTGAAGGCACTGGAATTCCCACTTGGCCGACTGCAGTTCAAGTCCCGGACCGGGCGGCTTGCTCTCCCTTTCTCTCTCTCTTTCTCTGGTAAAACTCATGGGAAAAATAAATAAATAAATATGAAATAAATAATTCTTGAAAAAAAATTAATAATGAATAAAGTTGAATAAAATAATTCTTTAGAAAAAGAGGGGAAAAAAAGAATTGCAGTTCTGCTCCAGCATGCTTTGCACTTCCAACTCTACAGAGAGGAGAGGAAGGGAGGCACACCCTGGGGACAGGAGTAGAGGTTCTTGAGCAAGAGTCTCAGCAGGTCAGTCTCTGGGGAGCCTACAAGCCCAAGTACTCATGGGAGTAAGCTCAGAGCACATACATGTGCAGTGACCGCCAGAGACCCTCTTCCTTCCCACAGTCTCCAGGCGGTGCCAGCTGCCTCTCGCGTCACAAAGCCTGGAGGGAAATTCCACAGTGGGCAGCCTGGAGCCCACACTCTCGTTCCTTTCACTCAGCCATCTTCAGTATACTGGCTTTGGACATGCAGCTCACTGCTTCGTAATCAAAGCATGGTTGCCACAACTCCAGCTATCACAACCACCCACCGCAATATTCAAAGTGGAAAGGTAAGAAGGGAGACCAAGGATACGAGTCACCTTCCACCTCCTTGTCCAAACTACTGGGTCATCAGGAATGTCATGACACATTTTTGCACAGAAAAACAGAAAGATACGTCATGACTTTCCTAACAACCTAACAGAAGCTCACAGCAGCAAACACCCCCCTCCTAGCCTCTGTTCAGCACTGGCCCAAGTACCTCATGGCCACGTCTTCCCTCAGCCTCTACCCAAAAGCTCAAGCCACTGAGTCTGGGACTCCAACCATGCAGCTGACCATGTGGAATCTGGCTCTCTAACCACCTGCCCATGGGCCAGCCCAGATGTTGCTATTTTTACCTTAATGATGAGGAAGACTGCGGAGGAAGAGTCAAATGCTCCATTGTAGAGGGTAATGATGGTTGAACGGTGTTTGCCAAATAGGTTTCCAATCTAGAGAAGATATGACCGCCCTGAATCACTTATTCATGAAACAAGCATGTCATGAGCACCTAGCATGTGCCAGGCACTCATTATACCCAAACCCACCCTCCATCCCAACAGCGCCCACCTTGGCTTGCGCCAACCCCATCTGAGGTAGCTACCTTCCCTTTCACCATCCCAGCCTCCTGCCAAGAGCCTAGGATTGGAGAGCATTCACACCTGCAGGTTGGTGATGAGAAACAGGATTCCCCCGACGGTGAGCATGGGCATAGCCAGGAAGAGCAGGAAAGCAGAGTCTGGAACCATCAAAGTCAGGGGGTGGGGGGTGATGCCATAGCATGACCCAAATACGGAGCTTGAATGCTTGCTCCCATCTGCTCCAACTTCCCATCAACTCTTGGTTCAGGCCCTCAGATCGAGCCAGTCTTCCACATTCTTCAAGGGTCTTATGGTACTGGCCAAGGCTCCCCAAATGTCCCTACAGAGGTCTCCTGGGCCACGTTCTTCCCCACCAAAGATGGCCCTCAATCTGTGGCTGGTCTGGATGTCTACAGATCAATGCAGGACTCAGAGGGAAGTCACTGTTCCTCCCTCACTAAGCCACAGGCGGCCTCTGCTAGTCAGCTTTGATGCTGCAGGTGGAGAGGACTCTGGACTCTGTCCCTTGGCTCAGCCCTCAAGTGCAGTCTCTCACTTACTATATGACTTTGAACTGGTTTTTTTCATCTATGCCCCAGTCACCTCATCTGTTAAATGGGAACAACAGCCCCTGCTATTCCTGCTTCTTGGGTTGTTGTGAAATCCAAGGGGGAAAACGACCTGGATCTTTCCCTTATTCATTAAACCCTGAAGCACTTCCTTCATGCACGGCATTGCACAGGAATGTTAAGTGAGGAAAATGTACTCTTTGCCCTTGAAAAGACCAACATGCAAACAAATCATTACAACATGAGTCTGCTAAGTGTTGGGTAACAACACAGCTGGGGGGGGGAGCCCTTAATAAATTCTTTTTTCCCAAACCACGCACCTCTGCCCACCTGCATGATTCTGGCCATAACCCACCCTCTGTCCTATTACTTGTTAAAATGCTTCCTTTGAGTTGGCTCATTTGTATTCAAAAGAAAGCTATTTTTAAAGGACACTTTAAATCATTGCTGTAAATGAAAACACTTGCATTGTTTGTCAAGAATAGAAAGTAACTGTAAAAATAAATACGATGAAAGAAAAACAGTGTTATGAAATTGTAGCTAGATCCAGTTGCTCTCAGAATGTTCAAAATCTGAGACCTGCTCTTGCCTTCATTGGTAAAGTCATCCCAGCCCCACATCAAGACTTTCATGAACTGGGACCAGCAGTTAGCATAAGTGGCTATGTAGTTGGACTCCCATGTAGTCAACCGCGATTCGAGTCCCAGACCCGGTGGCTTAAACTCACACCAGGCACGTGTGCGTGGGTGCCCAAGATCCCAAGAGGAGAATGGAGAAGAAGGAATTGCGGTGTGGCCATCCCCCCTGGGTAGTGATTTCTTGCTTTCTGTCTCTCTGTCTCTCTCTGTCTTTCTGACGAGTGCACACGCTCTATAGCAAAAACCTCTTTAAAAAAAAAAAAAAAGACTTTCATGAACCAGAAGTACCAAGAGAGAAATAAAAAGCGAGTAACTTTAACATCAGGTGACTCCGTGTTGTGTTCCTGCGGTGCACATGTGCCACTAATATCCTTTTTTTTTTTTTGAAGATTTATTTATTTTATTTATTATTATCATTATTTTTCAATTTGCTGTAAGCCAAGTGTGCTCACTAGAGAGAGACAAACAGAGAAAATAAAAAAGCAAACCACCAGATCCAGGACCTGAACCATGGTTGACCATGTGGGCATCCAGGGCCTCAACCACCACTACTACCTGCTGCTCCCCCCAATAGCCTCTTTCTTAACTCCTGTGCTGTACTCAAGAAATCCTGTAAAGAGCTAAGTTTAGTATATTCGTGCTATTTATCATTCCATTTCTAGCTTCATAAAATGCACATCTCTCAAGTACTAAAGGTTGGTGGCGATTCCTTTCACAATATAGTCATGGCAGCCTCAAGGCTTTTTTCCAAAAACGAAAAGCCCTACTTCACGGGGAAAGAGGGGCGTTGTTGCTCAAAAGATTCACAAAGAGGAGACAAACATTACCCAGCCAGCAGCTCCTCATTTAGCCACTCGAAAATTACGTATTTTAGATGAGATGAAGCAGGCTTGATCAGGAGAGTGTTTTGAAATAATTGGCTTTGGATGCCAGGCTAACTCATGCAATCTGTTTGGACGAGACTCAGCCTCCCTGATTCCCGAGCATGAGTGGAGACGACCTCATGCTGTCAGTTATATAACCCCAACCCCAAACCATGTGCCCTGTCGCTGGGGAGGAAGACCAGCCAGTACAGCCAAGGCTCTAGGGAAGGGGATAGCAGGAGTCAGGCAACCCATGTCTGAGCCCAGTTTCCCACCAACTTTCTGTGGCCTTGGTCAAGGTTTAGCAAGGGGTACGGCCAGTGTCAGTTTTCTCTCCTACATCATGGAGGTACGGGTGACAAAATAACCCAGATTGGAATTCCCGACTTTTTTTTTTTTTTTAAGTTTTGCTCCATACAGTCATGAGAAAGAGAGAGAGAAATGAAAAGTCACCCCCCCCCCCAGAAGGGATGACCATGCCCAATCCCTTCTCCTCCACTCTCCTCTCAGGATTTTGAGCACACACACATAGGCACCCAGAATGTTTCTTAAGCCGTCAGGTTCAGTACTCAAACTGCCAAGTCAGCCTTATAGGATCCAGCTGCCTTAACCACCAGGCCACCTGACTGGCCCATTCCCAGACTTTTATAAACAGGTAAACTTTGAAAACAAAGCTTCTGAGTACTATAATAGGGATGGCCACCCTAAGTAAGGAGATCTTCAAAATTGTCATTCATGTTATTAGTTCATTAAAAAAAGAGAACATTTTAGCACATACAAGAAGGATGCAATCCTTTGAATAAATTCCACTCTCTGAGGCAATCCCTCTGGATTGTCCTTCCTTTCCATACTTTTTTCAGTAGTCTAAACTATTTTCACAGATCAGCAATAACTCAACATCCCTCAAGGATTCTTTCAAGCTGCGGAACTCCGAATAACCGTGGGATCTGTGTGTCCCACCCACCACCTCTGCCCCTGCCCCATCTACAGGTGTCTCTGCGTTTGTATGCCTCCCACTCACCTGACGGTGCTTACCTGCCGAGGTGAAAGCTATGGTGAGCGTGGCTGTGGTGTAGAGAAATCTGAAATACAGAACAGGAGAGGGATCCTACTGTCAAGAAGGAGAAGTGTGAGAGAGAAAACAGGATTCTGTTTGTATGACCTCCAAGGTCAGGACTTGACCTCATTCTCAGCATGGGGGTCCTATGGGTGTCGATGCTTCTGGAGCCCCAAGCTCAGGGTAAGTAGCCATGATGTGACTGAAATATGGTCCTGACCACCCGGATAGTGCATTTGTGCATCCCAAGGCTAGGCTGGGACGTCTTGGACAATGAGCTCAGCAGAGGGTATGATTGGCTCGGGACCCCGCCAGGAGCAGAGTGGACAAAGTCAAAGCCTTCCCGAGCATAAATCCCAATAAGCCAACCCCCTGGAGAAAGGGGTAAATGCATGGTCTACAAATAAATCTCTTGAGTTCCGATTCCTCCTCGCAGTCCATCTTTTGGCCAGGCACTGACCTTCCCTGGGCTTCGGTGGCCTGTTCCATAACAGGAAATGGTTGGCTTGCTCTAGACTCCAAGCTTAAAGTTCTGGAGTGCTATGACTTCAGGATCACAATCCCAAGGCCATAGGGATGCCTTAGTAGTTGGGGGTCTTCTAGCATAGGGGGTATAAAAGCAGTGCTATGGGGGCTGGCAGGTAGTGCGGTGGTTAAGGACACTGGACTCCCACATGGCTAACTGCGGTTCAAGTCTCAGACTTGGTGGCTTGTTTCCTCACTTTCTCTCTCTCTCTCTCTCTCTCGTCAAATTTAAATAAATAAATACAGTTAAATAAAATAATTCTTTAAAAGCATTGCTGAGGTTTCAGGATCACAATCCCAAGGTTATAGAAATCCCTTAGCAGTGGGGGGGGTCTTCTAGCATGG